ATTACTTTAATTTGTGTGTGTGTGTGTGTGTGTGTGTGTGTGTTGAAGTTATCAAATCAGACTAGTTTAAGATGTCCATAACTGATCTTAAGTATCCAAAAGAACTTTGAAATGAATGCAAACTTAATCCTTCTCCAGATGAAAAATTCTTAATTTTCTTTTTCATTATGAAAATAAGAATCAAATTTATAAATTTATCAATAATTTTTCTTCTAAAATTTTTAATCAAGAGCATACACAGTTTATTACTTTTACTTCTCTTCCCAGAGTGGCCTAAAATCTAGATTATTTTTATTATTTTATTCTAGTCTCTTTTATCTATATTGGCATAAAATCTAGCCTCTTTTTCATCAAGAGTTGTCTAATTTATAAATTCACAATGACTTTTTCATCTTCCAAGCAAGTTTTACTTAATATAACTACACAGAGCTGGTAACCAGCTGGCTTGTATCATTATTTATTGGTTCATATGCAGTTGTTTTGTAAGCCCTACAGTTGTTCAAAGTACATTGAACATTGGATGGAGTGACCATCAAGATTATCTCCCATTCCCTGTTTCTCCATTCTGGCTATGTTCCAAAACTCATGATTCTTATGTTGTCAATGCCACATTAAAGTTCAACACTCTCAGAAAAGAGCTGCAGTTCAAGGTTGCACAGTAAAATATCATGATAATGGTAGGGTTTATTTTTTCTTTTTCTATTTCAATAAATTAATTCACTAGTCAGTCTTATAAATTTGTTGCCTTTTTTTCAATAGTTCAGTAATAGCAAAACAATTTTCACCAAGTATTATGTTAAGAATAAATTATACACCTTTCATTATTATTTATTTTATTAATATACATTTTATAATTTTTAGAACTTGAATACTTAAAATTTAAAAGCTAGTTTTTTTGTTACTAGCTTTATGTTATTAAATTCTATGAAGTTCATTGCTTCTGTATAGCTTACAATAATTTGATTTTAAAGTTTAGTTTTTGAACAAACATGCAAAAATAATGGATTTTCACACAGCTATCACTTAATTATAGGTCACACAATTCTCTCAACTAACATAAGCTTAAATGTCTAGATTTTTGGATTTTTTTAATCACAATGTTATAATTTATTGGACCAAAAAATTTCCATATAATTATAAATTCCAATTTCTTCACATTCTTTCAATACTCCAAAGAAAAACTCAGTTTTTTCAACATACAGTTCATATATTTTCTAGAGTAACTGAAAAGTTTTTATTTCCATTAGAAATATAGGTAGAAGAAGATGACAAATTGTTTTTAAAAGCTTCAGAAAAACTTTTCTAAATTTTCACTCAATTTTAGCCTGTGCAGATTAAAAAAAATTGATGAAATACATATGTGCAAGAAAAATATATGTGCTAAGATCTAAACTATGAAGTTATTCACAAATACAATTTCTCATCTTGTTGGATTCTTTAATAAAGAGGTATAGTACTTAAAATAGTTGAGAAAAATGTAAGTCACTCACCCAGACTGTTATGCTTGGAAAACCAAATTTTCCTTGGAAGAGTCGAATAAACTGAGATACATAAGCTCCTTCCCATAACCCCCGTATGGCCTCATACGGATTCCCATCTAAAAGTAGATTATACATGTATATATTACATACTTATAAAGAAAATTATATATCTATTTAGAACATGAAGACCACTATTCTATATTCTGGTTATATATCAATTTTTAATTAAAGAATTTGTGAGTTACACATTAAGTCTACAGAGAAATCAAACTTGGCTCACTGAAAAGATAGAGCAGTATTAAACTGATTTATAGTAGGGTTTAAAAAAACAAAATATTTTTCACATGGTTCATCAAATTAACTTGCTAGTCAATTTTATTTAATTTTGTTAACAGGGTACATTTTTTCTTTGAGCTTTATGTTCAAAATAAAAGAAACTTTTTTTACAAATGTCTACACCAAGAAGAATTCTTTTATATTTTGGCAACTTCTAGTAATTTCATAGTTTCATTAAATTTTCTTTGCTAGATTTATGTTAACAACTAGTTTACTGTACAAATATGGAAATGTTATTCAAGTTGCAATATGTATTGCAAAACTGCCACTTAAAACAAGCCAATCAAATCTCTTAAACCATTAAAACTAGATCTTTTAACCTTTAAAATTGTAATAACAAAAAATGTTGATAATTAATAAATTTAATTATTCAAGAAAAAATATACAAAGAAAAAATCCAAGCTTCTCAGATTTTTTGGTTATACCAAGTAGTAAAATTTAGATTGTTTTTTTTTTGTTTAAGAACAATTAATTTATACAAGGTATTTGAAATCTATACAGAAAAGTTAACATCATCTCTGTTAATTCTTGCAAACATTTAATACTGTCCTTAGGACCCAGAAATGTATTTATATCTTACTACTTAGATAATTGTTAACCTAATAAATTTAGTACTGACCTCTCATTACTATGGTAAATTTGCAATATATCTCACTCAGAACAACTATATTAAAAAATTTAATAACTAAATTAGTTTAAATCTTTGTGTTAAAAAAGTACATTGGAACATTCAGACTTTCAACTTCTATTAGTGAAATATGTGATAGTTTTAATATTAGAAATTCAAGGCAATGAGATTTTACATTATTGTTTTTAAAGAAAAACTTGCATAGTTATACTTTACAATGAGAATATATGTAAAAAAAATACCAAAATTCAAATATAAATTTATCAGTATCTTCAATACAACAATTTTGAAACACTGCTCAATATTGGTAATTATTGAGTATTATCATTAGTGGATGAATGTCATCAGTGATAATTTCTGCTATTGGTAATTAGCAGAAATTATCACTGATGACATTCATCCACTAATGATAATACTCAATAATTACCAAATGCAGAAATTATCACTGATGACATTCATCCACTAATGATAATACTCAATAATTACCAAATGCAGAAATTATCACTGATGACATTCATCCACTAATGATAATACTCAATAATTACCAATAGCAGAAATTATCACTGATGACATTCATCCACTAATGATAATACTCAATAATTACCAATAGCAGAAATTATCACTGATGACATT